GGGGGGAATGGGGGGCAGAACAGGGTGTGGGGTGTAGGTGCGGAAATATGGTACAAGTATGAGGGGGACGGGGTGGAAATAGTCAAGTCAACTCAAGAAGTTGCATCTACTCCAGTCCACCTACCAAGGCAGGTGAGGGATTACATCATCGGTTCACTGCACCAATCAGAGCAGAGACCCACCCACAAATCAAGAGCCTCCAATTATAGCCAAATCCTGAAATTGACTGAGGAGCCATGAAATAGACAAGAAAGACCAGAATGGGGCAAGCTTGTGAGAGGCCGAGTTTGACCCTCTGCCCAGTGCAATGAAAAGGCATCAAGATCTCAGGACAAGAGGAGGGAAATACTGTACTTTCCCCACATATAACACACCCCTGAATACAAGACACACCTCTAAAAGGCAGAATGAAGGGGGGGGGGGAAGCAATAGATCCTTCCTTGTTGTAACCGAGTAGTAACAGCAAGGGAGCCAAGGCTGCTCACTGCTCTGCTCCCTATGCATCACAGAAACTGCTCTTACCATATTTCTCAAATTAAATGTGCAGTCTACATTGCAGCAGCTGGGTTTTTGGGATAAAGGTACGTTACACAAGGAAAAAAATAGGATATTTTGCAAGGGAGACATAAGAAGGAAAAAGGTCATTAAAAAAGGGGGAGGGGAAAAAAAAAAAAAAAAAAAAATCAGCAATACCAAAAAAAGAGAACAAGAAAATACACTCCCCCCGCCCTTAAAGCACCAAAGAGGAGAAATAAATGCAATTAAGATCTACTGAAACTTTTGTTTTCGATGTTTAAGCATGTTTTCCTTTCATTGCAACCTTGTTTATTTAAAAAGAAACAAAGGAGACAGAATTAAAACACAAAAAGGCAAAATAAAAATGAAGATCAACCTCCCCAAAACAACCTGAAAGGATTTTTCCGTTGATAGGTCTTCACCACAAGTCATTCAAATGCTCATATCCCATTCTGCTCCAAAAAAAGAGATAGTCCTTTCAGAACTCCTTTTTCTCCAGATTTTCTAGCTGTTGCTTTTTAATAGGTCTCCCAAATTTTGGGAAAGGAAGTATAAAAAACGTTTCAACCAAAAAAAAAAAAAAAAAAAAAAAAAAACACACCACCAAAAAACCCCAAGAAACAAAACCAAAAAAACAAGTCATCTTTATTCATCAAAGAAACACGCACTTTTTTTTCCAACCAAAGAAACACCTGGGATTTTTAGTTTTCTTTTTGCAAAGCGAGTTGTGACAAAAATCACTATTTCTTTGGCTCAAAAAAAGTTGTGTTCCCCGCCCCCCCCCCCACACCTTTTCTCACCAAAGAAATGCCTGTTTTAGTCAAAGTGCAACAGCAACCACAATGATCTAGAAAACATGGCAAGAAGCAAGGAGGGGGGTTTATGGTGATACTTTATTGGGCCAACTGTACAGCGGGGAGAAATGGTAGGCAAGTTTTTGGACACAAACTGCCCTTCCTCAGGACTTAGTTTCATCAAAGAAATACCTATTTTTTGTTTGTTTGCCTTCTACATTTTTGCACAAACAGAGCTTTTTCTTCTATTTTTTGGCAGAAACAGAGCTTTTTCCAATTGTCTCTCTCAAAAAACATTTTTCCATTTTTTTGCAAGAGCCAATTTTTTTGTTTTTGCAAAAACAGATTTTTCCAATTTTTAGCAAGAACCCCCCTTTTCTATTTTTTTTTGCAAAACCCAAGCTTTTTCCAATTTTTTCCTGCATAAACCACTTTTTCTTCTTTTTTTTTTTTTGCAAAACCTGAACTTTCTCCAATTTTGCAAAAGCATTTTTTCCTTCTATTTTTGGCAAATCCTGAGCTTGTTCCAATTCTACAAATTTTTTTTTTTTTTTTGCACAAAACCTGAGCTTTTTCCAATTTTCTGCAAAAAAACCTTTTCTTGCACAACCAGCATTTTCCAAATTTGTTTTACAAAAGCAGTTTTCTTTTTTACAAAAAACTGTGCTTTTTCCTTTTTTTTTTTGTTCTCCTATTTTTTTTGAAAAAACAAAGCATTCCATTTTTTTTTTGGCAAGAGCCGAGCTTTTTCCCCCCAATTTGTATACAAAACAGTTTTTTCAGAAAACCTGTGTTTATTCAATGACTTTAAAAAAAATTGACCTACAAACCTTTTTCCACCAAAGAAACAGGAAGTTGCGGGGGGGGGGGTCAAAGTTTTTATATTACACTTTACAAAAATCAGCCAAAAGTTATTTCTCCACTAAGAAAAAACAAAACAAACAAACAAACAAAAAAAACCCTGCAATTTTTTTCCTTCACCCCCCAACACCATTTTTTGCCTTCCCAAAGAAAGGCCAATTTTGGTTACAACCTTCACCTTATTTATTCACACCCCAGCTCCACCTCATCCTTCTGGGGGAAAAAAAAAACAAAAAAAAAAAAAACCAGCAATCAAAAACTGAACCCAACTCTCGAAATTGCAACCCAAAATGGATCCAGCATCTCGAACCAAAATCTCTTGAATCAGTTTCTTCATTGAAAAGAAAATTCTATTATTTTCCCCCGTTTTTCATTTGCCTTTGCAAAACGAGTCCCAGGCGAATGGCTGTGTGGTATGTGAATAAGTACAGTATTCCTGGACCAACATACAGACTTCCCAGCTGCTTCTCTTTGGTAGCATGTGCTTATTTGTGTTTAAAAATAAATTTTTAAAGCCCAAGTTGGCAAAGAAAATAAATCACAGGTGGGGAAAGCAGCATATCCTCACATGTCCTGTCCCCGACAAGACGCTTACAAATGGAAAAGCAAGATTCACTGTGCATCATACAAAGCAATGGTAGTGTATTTTAGGAAAAAAAACCCAAAAACAAACACAGCTTCGAGCTTGGCTACGTCTCTTTCCCCCCCAAAAGATCAAGGGGCAGCAAGGGGAGGACAAGACAGTGCTGTATTTTCTCACGTACAACACGCCGCTAAATACATTATGCTCCTTGTTTCTAAAAGGCTTTCTGAAGAAATATTTTTTCTCCCCTTCCCCAAGTTATGGCTGCAGCGAGCAAGAACAGAGCTTAATTTTGAGCTCACTCACCCCCATCCTGCTTAATTAAAACCCCAGGTTGGTCTCCACGGGTAGATATCTGATATGGAGCAGAGCCAGAAATAGGAGAAGAGACCAGAAGCCTTAGCAGGCGGCAACATTTCCCTAAGAAAGATTAGCTCCCTGAGTGGAAACAAGGCCATTAGAAAGGCCTAATTGTTAATGTCCATGGGGCCACTAACAGTTAACGTTCATGAAATGAGGAACAATGGGGCATGAACTCTATGATCTATTAACTCCCGCAGCTTCCTGAGGAGTAATACCAGAGCTGGAGAAGACGGCACCAAGCAGGGTGCTTCTATATCTCCCAGCATCCCCATGTGCGCCTCTATTTGGGGGAGGGAAGCTGATTTTTGGGGAAGGAAAGGTGCGTGTTGTATGTGAGAAGATACGGGATTAACAAAACAAACAAACAAACAAACAAACAAACAAACAAAGGCAAATAAAGCACACACAAAAAAAGGCACCACACTTGATTTCTCTCCCAGGGAACGGATCTCCGCAGCGAAGGCCCCTGAGCAAAAGGCTTGAAAAGCCCCAATGGCTTATGGGAAGAAAGGGGAGTGGCAGGAAGGAGGGGGGAACAATAATGGTGATGATTTCCATGTAGCTGGAGTTGCTGGCAAAGACAGGCATGGGCTCCTTATATCCCCGAGGGGGCTGGGGCTGCACCGGCAGCATGCGGGGCAGCACTGGGCGGGCTGTGGAGGTTGGTTTCTTTGTAGACGAACCAGGAGTTGCCGCCCCATAGGATGACATTGAGGAAGCCGATGACCTAGGGGATAGGAAGAGAAGGGCAGGTGAAGATATCTACTCCCTCCATAGGTCTTCAGGACAAGCAAGGGGCTGTGGGGACCCCAGCTAAGCCGAGCCCTCCCGGCCTGGAGACCTGCCACAACACCTCAGACCGTTGCCATTAGGCTGGGACAAGATGGCAGTCAGCAGGCCAACATAAGATGACCATCACTTCTCCCTCTCTGTGAGGAGAGGTTGCTCTACCCATTATTCCCACTTAGATCTATCTCCCAAGAAGTTCCTGGGTGGGTAAGACCCACTCATGAGGCCTCTGCCCCTGCCACAGGACCCCCCCTCACACCCATTACTTCAGCTTCATTTGGTCAGGAAACTAACGAAGCCACATGGGACTGGACAGGAAGTGTGCTCACACGTTAAGACAGGTCAGTAGCTGGGAGGCGGATGCCATACTGGGGTGGCATCATGACAGGCCCCGGGGAAGGAGGGGCAAGGGGAAAAGGATGAACAGGATATCCCAGAGAAACCAGACCCAAGTGGGATGAACTCAGAGAAACAGGTCCTGGACTGCCAGAGCACGGAGGGGAGCTGGGCTGGCTCTGTCCAGCCAGCGGATCCCTAAAATGCCCCATCTCTGAGCCCCTCGAGAGGCCCACACCATCCTTAGTCCAAACTGGGATGAACTGGGATCTAATTCGTGGGAGAGGAGAGGGGATTGGGCTGGGCTGGGCTGGTTCAGGTTGGCAGGGCCCAGCCAGTAAGTCCCCAAATGCCCCATTCCCAAGATGCCAGAGTCCCACACTATCCCCACCCCAAACTGGGAGGAGCTGGGAGCAGGAGAGGAGGGCTGGGCTGGCTCTTCCTAGCCAGAAGATCCCAAGGTGCTCTCTCTCTGAACCTCCAAAGAGGCCCAATAATATCCCCAGTCACAACTGGGATGCAGCTTCTGAGCTGCTAGGGCAGAAAGAGGTCGAAACATGCCCCCAGAGGGCAGGAGACCAGATGGGTACGAACCAGGAGCCAACGGGGGGGGGGGGGGGGGCCCCCAGGGACCTACCACAGAGACGTTGAGGGACCCCATGCTGGAGACGCTGTCGAATACGCAATCAATAGCGGACTTTTGGCAGAAGGCAAAGTCGGCTATCAGGTCGGGGCCAGTGGACACCTTGACATCAGTCAAAGCCTTGGCCCAGGCCGAGGCACTAACGAGCCAGAGGAAGGCGAAGACCACAGTAATGAGGAAATCCTGCAGAGGTGGAGGGGAGGGGGTGTTAACAAGCTGCAGGAACACATCAGGGATACGGGCAGCGCCGAGCACTGTACAAATCCACCGCGAGAGTTGGCCCCAGGCCCAGCCAGGATCAGGGCCGTACCAGGGAATGCACATACCTCCCCCAGGCAGAGCTGGGTCCTGCCCCACATGGGATCAGGTCCACGCCAGGCGTTGTATGTACCAGCCCCGGGAAGAATAGGAGCCACGCCAGGTATTTGTGTGTCATTCCCACCCCCCACATCCACCCCAAGGGCAGGGCATGTCCCCACCAGCAGGGGGCAGTGAGCACACCCCCTCCCCCCCACCCCGCCCAGCCTCATCAATGCCACGCGCTTACCTGCCAGCCAGGCCCTCCTGGGCACCCCCGTAGCAGGGAGAGAGAGAGAAAGAAGCCACATGGTTTATTGGGTTAACCTGCTCCTGCCCTAGCCTGGCTGGGTAGCAGGAAACTACAGCTCCCATGATGCATCACAGTTAGACACATCACACATCGGATGACATCGTTTCCTTTCCTCCCCATGGAGGCAAGGAGGCAAAGTACCCTGGGAGACAATCCAGCCAAAAGAACCAAGCCCATTGGAGGAGCGCTGGACTCACCAGAATTGTTGCTGGTATGATATGCCCCACCCCTGTGATGTCATGCCCCGTCTTCATTGAAGTGGGCATTGTGGGGGGGATATAGTCTGGTCACAGAGCCAAGTCCATAGAGAAGAATGCGGGCATGATGACCTCCCCCCACCACAGTACTACTGCTCCCATGATACCCCACAACCAAGAACTCCCATTACATCCCTTCCTCTGCTCCCCATAAGAGGAAGAAGCAAAGCATTATGGGAGACAGACCAGCCAATAAGTCCAACACAGAGGAGCACAAGGCTCACCAAAACAACTCCCACAATGTACCACATGCATAGCATCACTTCTCCCCCACTGTGAGCAGAGCATTATGGGAGCTGTCAGCCAGTCAAAAAGCTAAGCCTACAGAAGAACAGGAAAGCCCATGAGAACTGCAGCTTCTATGAAGCCTTACACTCAGGCACTCCTGTGACATCACTTCCTGTCCTTCCCTTGAGCAAGGCATGGGAGACATACTCCAGCCAATGAGCCCCGCCCACTGAACAGGGTCCACCAGAACTACAGCTCCCACCATGCATCCACGGAAGCCAACTACACTTCTTCTCCACCCAAATTTCCACCCCTCCTCCATGAGATTATCCCCACATCCACCAAATCCCTCCCCCTCGTTATCTCAATGAGCCGTAACAAAGCAGGCAGGACTCACAGCCATGGGCAGCTTGCCCCCAGCCCCACGGTAGAGGTGCATGTAGCCAAGGTAGAGGACCAGGGCGCCTAGGGAGTAGAGGAAGGCAAAGACGGCCAGCGTGACGAAGAACTGAGATGAGGACGAGAAGTCTCCCACAAGGTGAAGGTCATTCCAGGTCTCATTGCATAACACCTGGCTCTGGGTCTGGAAGGCCACGGTGTTCAGCCTGCAGGACAGAGGGCAATGGATTCAGCGATGCGTAGAGATGCACCGATACAGGGAAAATTGAAAGTATTGGTAAATCAGCTTTTTTTGCCTGATGTGCCCAATAAATGCTCAGTGTATCCACGCAGCGCAGCATGCACTGGGCCAGGAGTGCAGCCCAGCGGCTTGGGAAGCAGCATCACGCTGATAAGTCTGGTATGGGGGAAAGGGGTGAGGGGAGAGAAAGGGTGTGGGGCACAGGGCAGATTGAGGCCCCCGCAGTGAGGGAGTGGGGCAGGGACAAGCGCTGCACAGCTGGGGCAGGACAGGCACAGGATGGAGCCATAAGCAGTTTATCCGGGGGCCAAGGGTCAGACTAGGGTCAGTTAGATTGGACATTAGGAAGAACTTCTTCACAGTTCGAGTGGCCAAGGTCTGGAACGGGCTCCCAAGGGAGGTGGTGCTCTCCCCTACCCTGGGGGTCTTCAAGAGGAGGTTAGATAAGCATCTAGCTGGAGTCATCTAGACCCAGCCCTCTTTCCTGCCTATGCAGGGGGTCGGACTCGATGATCTATTGAGGTCCCTTCCGACCCTAACATCTATGAATCTATAAGGGTGGGGGAGCGGCTCCCACTGCTGCATGCACTCCAGGAGGGCATGTGCCCCCAGATCTGTGCGGGCAAGGGCAGGCTGCCGTGACCCTCCACACCCCTGGACAAGCCGCTTGCTGCTCCATCCCACACCTGCCCTTCCCCACCTGGGCAGTGCCTGCCCCTGCCACACTCCCTCACTGCAGGGGCCTTGATCTGCCACCCCCCATACCGCTTCCCTCCCCCCACACCAAAAACTTACCAGCCCAATGCTGGTCTCCAAGCTGCCCAGCTGCATACCTGAATCGGATTGGTATCAGCCGATATAGCCCCTTAAAAATTGACCGTCGATACTGGCCCAAAAAAAAAAAAATCTCTATTGGTGCACTCCTAGCTATGAGCCCTCCATGCTGCTAGAGCAGCTTTGGTTTCATGTGCCCTCAGCCAGGCATTCCAGCCGCGAGCAGGGAAGTGTTGGGGAAATACATGGAGTGCTCGGCTGGCTCCACATCTCCCTGCTTGCAGCCAGAGTCCCCGGCTGGGTGCACATGAAACCAAAGTGGCTCTAGCAGCCCTTAAGGGAAGCTGCACATGGAAGTGCCAGCTGGGAGCAGGGAGATGTGGAGCAAACTGGGCACTCCATGTTGTTCACTCTCAGGGGGTAAGGGAGACCCACACCCCCAGATCTACGCAGGGCGGGGGGCAGGCAGGCTGTGGTCTCAAACTCCCAAGCTGCTTCCCTCCCACAGGGCCGCTATAGCCCCACAGGCACGACCTGGCACGGCAGGAAACAGCAGGGGCAAGGCGGCAGATCCCTGTCGCCCTGCTCCCCTCCCCGCAGCCCAGCATGGCTGGGGACAAAGGAGCCAAGCGGGAATCTCCTAGCAGCTGCTAGCTCAGTGCTGCCCCAGCGATGCGCTTCCTGTACGCAGGGCTGCACTGGGGGAAGGGGTGCAGGGCTCTGCCACTCAAAGCAGCAGCAGGTGCAGGAGGCGCAGCAGGAGAGCAAGGAGATCCTGGTGTGGCCCCACTGTTCCCAGCCACACCATGTCATGCCTGCGGGGCTACAGCAGCCCCACAGGAGGGAAGCAGGGTGGGAGCTCAAGCCCGCAGCCTGCCCCCCACACAGATCTGGGGTTGCAGGTCCCTCCTGCCCCCACCCCCAGGAGTATGCGTGGCTGCCAGGAGCCAGCCCTGCCCCTGCCGGAGCTGGCAGCAGGCAGGCAGCAGTGGGAGAACCAGCTCTGTGCACCTGCTGCAGCTGCCTTCTGTAGGGGACAGGCAGCTGTGGACCTGGGTCCCTGGTCCCATAGCCCTGGCAGCTGGGGGCCTGCTCTGGCAGGGCAAGGGGGCACAAGCAGGGCTTGGGAGGCCTTTAATTTTAATCATAGATTTTGGGGGCTTTATCAGAGAATTTGCAATTTTTTTATCAAGGAAAACCAGGATCTCTGCCAATAACCTACAAACTTTTTACTGACCAACAATTTTTTTTTTCCTGACACCCTATACACCCTTTACCAATAGGGACAGGCTCTCTCTTCTCACTGACAACTTACACACTTGTTATCAACAAGTTTTTGAGGGTTTGTTTGGGGTTTTTTTTTACTGATACTCTACCAACATTTTACTGACTGGCAAAATGTTAATTAAACACCCTACATGCTTTTTACCAACGACAGGTTCTCTCTTCTTACTGACAGCCTACACACTCTTTTTACTGATAAAAAGTTTTGGTTTTTTTACTATTAGCCTACAAACCTTTTACCAACGGTGTTAATTTTTTTTCTACCGATGCCCTACAAACCTTTTACCAATTACAGTTTTTTTTTTACTGACGCCCTACACATCCTTTACCAATAGCAACAGTTTTTTTTCCTTCTTATCAACACCCTACATACCTTGACTGACAACAAGTTTTGTTTTGTTTTTACTAACAACCTACAAACCTTTTTCCAACTATGTCATCTAGGCCCAGTAAAGTTGTAGGCTGTCAGGAAAAAAAACAAACAAAAACCAAATAAATGAGCCTAGACCCATCAGGAACTCCAAGCTGGATGACTAGAGGGCGGCCACTAAATGTACAGCACTTAATGGAGAATCTTCAGCACCTGGAGTCATGGGACTGCCAGGAGACTTGAGAGTACCTTGCTACCCCTCACACCAGAGGAGGAAGCCAAGGGGCAAGACGGATGAAGGCTAGGGGTGGTTGCTTGCCAAGAGATGTTACCGAGATCAAGAAAGAGCCCAGGGCAGGGAAGACCTCACCGGAACGGGTAGCCAAACGTGGCTATCACACTCTCATTCTTGGTCTGAGAACAGCTGACTTTGAAGGAGGTGTTGCCGCCGTACCCACCACAGGTGGCAAAAGCAAAGATGGAGAAGATCTGGAGAAGGAGACACACAAAAACGGAGGTTACAAATTGAACCAGCCAAGAAGAGAGCCCACCCACCACCCCTACTGTACCCCATAAACCCAGCACAGCCTTGCCCACATCTGCCGGGTAAAGGTGCCAATGAATGTGCACCTCCCTCCAAAGAAAGTTTTCATTGAAACAGGATCACCACGAGCCCAGGATCGTAGCCGTGGACACTGTTGCCTGGCAACTGGACACCCATAGCATCCACTGTCACACAACATTATTAGGAGCCCCCAGCCATTTCCATCTGCGAAACCCAATGCACCCTTACAACCTCTGGGAAAACCAAGGCACAGGGACACAATTAGGGGACTAGAACCCTAATCTCCTGTGCCCTCAGCCAGTGTCCTGTCTAAGCAATCACTCAACTCCTCTCCTGTAAGAAGCTGTTCATCTCTAGGCTGTATCGTAGCATATTTGCCGTCTTCATTTCATAAACAACAAGCTACAGAGATTACACACAGCCAGTGGCAAAGCATATGGGGAGCACAGGGGTGCACGTGCATACCTTGAGAGCACTGGTGCACCCCGACAGCAGTGTTCCCCACTTAGGAGGCAGGCAGGCGAAAGCACTGATGCCCCCCCGAGAGCACTGGTCAGGGGGCAAGGTGCCAGGTGAAGTGATGCCTGCGGTTCCCCAGCAGACGATCGCACCAACCAGGGAGGAAGGGGTTCTCCCGCAAGCATCTGCGCCAAACCAGAAATGCCCCCCGGTCAGCGCAATCAGCTGCAGAGGGACCCCCCCACCCCACTGGGTCAGCACGATCATCTGTGGGGGAGCAAGTGCCCTCCTGACTCAGGAGGCACCAGTCGCCCGTGCGCACAGCTCGAGTTCCAGCTTGGTCTTTCTTGTTTACCACCATTCAAACTGGGGAAACCCTTATCAGAACCTATGTTAGTGTTGTTTTTCTTAAGCAGAAAAAAATATTTTCCCCTAAAAATGGAAGTTTCAGAGACAGAGAGACACTCCCACCCTGCTCTTGTACTCATTTAAAAATCATTTTTCCTTATCTAGGGTGGAATTAAAGGGGGGGGGGAGGAGAGGGGGAGGTGCTCCCAGCCCACTCTTCCATGCATTGCAAAATTTGTTCTCTCTTAAATGAACTCTAATTAAAGACAAACACATACCCGTCACTTAACTCTCTCTCTTTTTTTTTTTTTTTTTTTTTGGTAAAGCAGGGTGGTTCTTTTTTTTAAAGCATTTTGGAAGGAAAAACAAACCTGCTTTCACCCTCCCCCCATTGTCAAGGAGCAATCTCCAAGGACACATTTTCCCCAAACCAGGGAAAACAAAGCCCCCGCTCCCCGCTTCTATCCCCATCCAGATCCCTGTTCTGCTCCTCCCCCCCAACCCGGGGCTGTATTTACCACATTCATTAATTATCAAATCTAGTTTTGTTTGTGCTGGGAGGCCATTAGGACACACCCCAGCCGGGAAGAAAAGGGGGGTGGAATTCTCCCTTCCAGAATCTCCATTAAAAAGAATTAAATAATAAAGCCACTAAAATAAAATAAAAACCACCAAAAAAGGCCTTTTTGGGGGTTTGGGGGGGGGGTATTTAACCCTTTCTTCTCCATGACTGCCCCCCCCCCAGAAGAGGCTCACTGGGGGTCCTGAGGGTGGCATGGGGTATTTATAGGGCTATGGGCATTCCCAACCCCACCCCCGCCAGTCCCCATCCAGAAGCCAGGGCAAGCAGCCAAGAGGCCTGGCCCGGTGCCCGGGAGATGCTGGGGAAGGAGAAATTCCTGCTTTGGGCTGCGGCCGAGAAAGAAATTCCCCCTGCTGAGTCCAGAAGCCTCCCACAGAGGCCTGGTCCCATCTCCCCCTCCCCCCCCAGACTAGGGAGCCCCTGAACCCCCCAGATACTGCCCCCCAAACAAGGCTGAGGTGCCCCCCCTGGCACCCACCCCATGGAAATCTGGGTATCCACCAGCACTCAGGCACCCCACAGACCCCAAGACCTGTGGGACCCCCATAATTTTGGGGGAGGGTGCAGGGCTTTACTGGTCCCAACCCCAGGGAGATCAGGGGTCTCTACCACCAGACACCCTGGCCTTGAAGGCCAAAAGGGACCCAAGGGCCAAAGCGACCTCATAAACTGAAGCCCACAGACAAAAGAACCATCCAACACCCCAGAAGAAACAACAGTAACACCAAGAAAAGAACCAATCTCCCCCTCCCCCCCCAAAAAAAAAATCAAGAATGAACAGAGGGCCAAAAGGGGCCTCATCAACAAAAAAAAACCCAAAACATGAAGATACAGAAAACAGCCAAAAAATAAATATAAGAATGACCAGATCTGAGGACGAAAACCAAACCTGCATCCTGACACCCAGAAAAATAAAAATAAAGTTAAGGAAGAAAAGCAAAAAGGGGGGGGGGGGGGGGGGGGGAAGAGGAGGCGTCTTAAACCAGAACTCAAAGCAAGGAAACATAAAACAGCACAGAAAAATCTCCAAAAAAATCCAAAAACAACTTGAGCACCGGGGGAATTAAGCACCAAGGAGAACCCTTCAAAACCCCAAAGCGGAGAAAAGTAAGACAACCAAACACACACAGATGCACACACGGACAGATACACTCATGAACATGCATGCGCGCACTTGCACACACAGATAAACATATACACGCCCACAAATATATACTTGCACATATGTGCATGTGATCACATGCACCCAAGTACACACACACACACACACACACACCACATCTCCAAAACCAAAAGAAGAAAAACCAACCCCCCAATATAAAAAACATAAAAATAAAAACAACCATCAAAACAGAAATACTTTTTCCTTTTGTTTTAAAATTTGTCTTAAGCCAAAAGCAGGGCAACTTAACACACCCAAATAAAATACCCAAATACTGAAAAAACCAAAAGCGCCTTGAAGGCTCCAGTGAACTGCGGGCCACAGAGCTCATCAACCAAAACCCCAACACCTGAACCCAGGGAAAGCAGCCAAAATATATATATCTTAAACCAATAAATATATTAAATAAATAATGTAAAGTGTACAAGTTGCCAAGGACCAAAACTAAAAATACATCCTGAGAACCAAAATACTAGAACTAAAAGGGGGGGGCAGTAATCTCCAAAAATCCAAATCCAAAAGCGACTTGAGCGCCAAGGGGAACCTCTTCACGCAAACCCCAGAGGTAGAGAAAATTAAAACAACCCCCAAAAAGAAATAAATAAATACACAAGTCCCCAAACCCCACAACAAAAGAGACAAAAAAATCCCAGCTGAGAACCATAAAGATGACCACTATATGGTGATGATAATATCACTATTTAGCATATTATCGCCACCATGTAGGGTTATTAAGAACAGCGACAACAATGGCGGCGTTGCTGCGCCTTGCGCACATCTACACAAGATGCTATTGTGCAGTGGTTCCTGCACATTAATTTAATACTCGCATAATCAAGGTGACTGGAGTTACTGCACAGTAAAGCTGGCACACATCTTTTTAGTGACGCTTACTCCCAAGGAGCATAACAATACTGCATAGGAGCATATTAGCACTGTCCATGCTGTGACACCTTACCGCGCAGTGTTCCTCAGCTAGTGTGCCACAAGCATCTCACGTAGACGAGCCCCATATGATTAATATCATGTTTAGCCTCATTACTTTAGTTATTGGTGCCTATTTTAACGGTTAGCATTCTTTATTAGAGTGGTTAATAACAAGCACTATAACACCCCTATTGTTACGGTTATATTGATGGGTGTAATTAATATTATCATATAGCTTTATTAATAATTACACCTATCAGTAACACCCCTATTGTCGTCACAGTTGCCAATAACATTACGCAGTGATGATATTAATCATGCTAAATAGTATCATTATTTAGCTTTATTAATAATGTCACCACTACATAATGTTATTAGCAACCATGACAACAATAGGGGTATTACTGATAGGTAGAATTATTAATAAAATCTAAATACTAATACTATTTAGCATGATTAATGTCATCACTACATAACATTATTAGTAACTGTGATGACAACAGGGGTTACCGATAGGTGTAATCATTCATAAAGCTAAGTAGTGATACTATTTAGAATTAACTACACTCATTGGTAACCCCTACTGTTGTCACAGTTACTAATATTGTTACGTAGCGATAGCATTAATAACGCTAAATTGTAGTAATATTCAGATTTATTAACAATTACACCTATCAGTAGCCCCCTATTGTCAACTCAGTTACTAATAACTTTATTTAGTGTTATTAATAACCGTGACAAAAGGGGGGGGTTACTGATAGGTGTAATAAGTCGAAATACTAATACTATTTAGTGGTATTAATACTATGTAGTACTAATATTTAAATGTATTAATATTTATTACACCTATCAGTTACATCCCTATTGTAATCATGCTTACTAATAACATTACATAGTGATGACATTAATAACACTAAAAAGCACCACATTTTAGCTTTATTAGTAATTACACCTATAGGTAACACCACTATTGTCGTCACTTTACACAGTGATTATAGTAATAAAGCTAAAGTGAAAGACATCACAACAAATAGCAATTAACCGTTACTGTCACTATTCATAATAATGTTAATAGTGATTGTATTCATAATTTAAAATAGTGATATTAATCTCAATGGCAACCCTGTGACTGTTGTCATGGTTACTAATGCTACTATATAATGATCACTGGGAGTGGGGTGGGGGCGCAAAGGCACATGGTTGACAGCCCAGAGGTCAAGGGTTCAAGGTCACAGCAGAAGTCCTCACGGCACAGCCCCATCAACTGCAAATTCGGCTAAATACCTCAAAAAAAAGGAAGGAACCACGATAAATAATGAAGGTGTAAGCATAATTAACCATGCTAAATAGTGATATTTGATCACAATAAAAACGGCAAGATCAGTAACGTTGTCACCATTATGAGTAGCGCTATATAATAGTGACCAGCGTCGTCTGGGTCATCTATGGTGGTCCAGGGGACACTATGACCATGGTGTCAGCATAAAAGGCCTTGTCAGGTACCTACCTGATGAATCTGCCTGGATGGAGTCCTGTGACCATCGCACACAGACCTTTGATGCCTACACCTACGCAAGAGTACGGAGCAGCGGAGGCTGCCCAAGACCCATCGCGCTCTCCGCCCCCACCCCCACATTAGACCACGGAGGCAGAATCCAAAGGCTGGATGATGTACAGATGTTCGATGCCTCGAGGGTTGTAGCTTCTACCAGAGAACAATGGATGCAAGCTCAGCGAGGGCGTGTTTCAATCAGGGTGATGTCCCTTAGCTTTCATCCAGTCGAGTACCCACAAGGCAGTGGGGCTAGTGTCAAAGCACTCTACACACACCTTACTCTGGGGGTCACAATACTGGGGTATTTTATAGAAGCTACCACGCCATCACCAGGCCCTACAGTCAGACGCACTTTACGGTCATACCCAGGATCAAACGCTAATAGTGAGCGTATTAATCACCAGGGATCCTGGTTTTCTCCAATTAAAAAACAAAACCAAAGTGTCCAATTTAAAAAAAATAAGCCAAAATCCACATTTTTCCGTGATTAAAACAAAACACCACTATACTTTTTTTTTTAATAATACATACACATATACACACACACCTATATCTATAACTCTCTCTCATACACACACACACACACACACACACACATATACACACCAATCTTATTATAAAAAATTACTGTTATTAATCATTAATCAATATAATAGTAATAAATTATAAATTAATATTAATGAATACCAGAAAATAAATCAACTAATTACACTATATGACATTCATGTAATCACTATCAATGCTATTTATTGTGAACAGTTGCTTAATTTGCTATTAATATTACTAATATGATTAGTAATGACTAATAGCACTATTAATACCATGTACTGTGATAAATTACTTATCAATTTTCTATCTATTATTAATATTACTAGTTTAATCAATTAATTAATAGTATTAACACTATTAATATAACTTGTGGTTATTTGCTTATTAATTCATTGATGTTCATTGTTATTAATATTATGATTATCAAGTAGCAGTAGCATTATTAATGCCATTTATTGCGATCAATTGTTTAATTCACTATTCATTTTTAATATTACAAATTTGATTGCCTCTCTATTAGTAGTGTTAACACTATTAATACAATTCATTTTGAGCAACTAATTAATTCACTGCTATTTATTGCTATTATGATGAGTAATTAGCAAGTAATACTGTTAGCACTTTTAATACCATTTATTGTGACTATTTATTAATTCATTGTTATTAATAGTTACTAGTATTCATATGATTATCAATTTCAGAGATTTCATAGACATTAGGGCTGGAAGGGACCTCGGAAGATCCAGACCCCCTCCCAAGGGGCAGGAAGTCAGCAGGGGTGACAGGATCCCAGCAAGATAAGCATCCAAATGTCTCTTGAAGGTGTTCAATGTAGGCGCTTGAACCACCTCCGATGACAGGCCATTCCTGACCTTGGGGGCTCGGACAGTAAAGAAGTTCTTTCTTATGTCCAGCCTGAAATGGTCTTGCAGTAGTTTATAACTGTTCGGCCTTGTCATCCCTTGGGGTGCTCTGGTGAACAAACGTTCCCCCAGATACTGGTGGTCACCCCTGATAAACTTATAGGTGGCCATCAGATCACCCCTGAGCCTGCGCTTTTCCAGGCTAAAGAGCCCCAGGGCTCTCAGCCTCTTGTTGTAAGGTCTGTTTTCCTGCCCTCTGATCACGTGTGGCTCTTCTCTGGACTCTCTCAAGCTTCTCCACATCCCTTTTGAATTGTGGGGCCCAAAACTGGACGCAATACTCCAGCTGCGGCCTCACCAAGGCCGAGTACAGGGGGAGAATGACGTCCCGGGATTTGCTTGAGAAGCATCTATGGATGCAAGCCAGCGTTTTGCTTGCTTTACTAGCTACAGCATCACGCTGAAGGCTCATGTTCATCTTGTGGTCAATGATGACCCCCAAGTTTCTTTCTTCCATAGTGCTAGCCAGCGTAGCACTGCCGAGCCTATAAGTATGCTGTGGGTTTTTCTTCCCAAGGTGGAGAACCTTGCAGTTATCGGCATTGAGCACCATCAGATTCTCGTCCGCCCGCTTGCTGAGCCTGTCCAGGTCAGCCTGGATCACCCTTCTGTCTTCAGGTGCGGAAGCTTTGCCCCAAAGTTTGGTGTCATCGGCAAACTTGGCCAGTCCGCTTCTGACTCCAATGTCCACATCATTAATGAAGATGTTGAACAATATGGGTCCAAGGACAGAACCTTGGGGGACCCCACTGGTCACAGGGCACTATGACGATTAACTTCCATCTATTACCACCCTTTGGGACTGACCACGGAGCCGATTTCCCAGCAAGTGGATCGTGGTGGACCCAAGGCCACAATTGGCCAGTTTTGCCAAGAGGTGATCATGGGATACCAGATAGAAGGCTTTTTTGAAGTCAAGATATATGACATCAATCTCTTCTATCATCTGGACAGGGGAGGTCACCTGGTCGTAGAAGAAAATGAGATTGGTCAAGCAAGACCTACCCGCAACAAACCCGTGCTAGCTGTCCCTCAGGATGCTGGAGTCAGCCAGTCCGTTCAGGATGGCCTCTTTAATAATCTTTTCTAAAACCTTCCCTGGGATAGAAGTCAGGCTGATGGGCCTGTAGTTTGCCAGATCCACTTTCCTTCCTTTCTTGAAGATAGGCACCACATTGGCCTTCTTCCAGTCTTCAGGCACTTCACCAGAGCGCCAGGAGCTATCAAAAGCACCAGGCCAGCAGGCCTGCCCATGGTGCCTGGGGACGGCAGGTCCCAGCAGGCACCTGTCCCTGGGCTCCAGGGGTAACTGTGAGCACGGTGCGTGGAGTCAATGGAGCTGTGTCTAAGTCCACCCGCAAACTTCCAGCCTGCTGGGCCCTGCCGCCCCCAGGCGCCTCAGGCAGCCCCGCCGGCTTGGTGCTTTTGAGAACTGGCGCTCTGGTGTAGTGCCCACAGATAAATTCTAATGATGTAAATTAATAAACAGTTAATATAATTACATTTTAAAATAGCATTATTTTAATATCAATAAATGACACTACCAATGCTAACTCTGTTCACTGATAATATATCAATGTTGTCAGTATCAATAATATTATTAATTGTGTTGACACTATGTTAATAATAGATAATAATAAACTAATTATTTGCAGCAATACATGACAATTAGCAGAGGCATTGTTAATATTAATAGCAACAAAATATACTAACGAACAATTACCAACAATAAATAACATTAATAATGAAGAACAGCTGGATTAACACGATCAGGGTTCATTACGGTGATCACGGCGAGGATGGAGCACCCCAAACGCTGCTGTCGCTATGAGGGAGAATCTCCCACCCTCATCCCCCTAGGATGTGTTGTCACCACGGCCATTGTGGTTATTAATAAAGCTGAATAATTAAGGGTAAAAGCAATTATCCCCCCCACATTTTACATCTGGGGGGTTGAGGTCTGGCCATTCCCCCCCACCGCCACCTCCACACGGCTCAGGGAAGAGAGAGCAAAACCCACATCAAGGAGGAGGCGCTGGAAGGGCAGGAAGGAAATGCGGGACACCAGAAGCGGTCGCATTTAGGGCCCCAAGGTGCCAGGCTGGGACCGGGCCTGTTGCCCAACTTCCCCTGCAGGTGTGGGGCAAACCAACCGTCAAAATGCCCCCCCTCCCCCCTTCACCCCTCCAGACAGGGCTGCATGTCCCGGGAAATCTCCGGAGCCCGGAGTCGTGGGGTCGGTGGGGGGCAGCGCACGGGGGCTGTGAGCCCAGATGCCACCCCCCCCCCAGCTTCCCAGTTACCCCAGTCCACCTAGCACAGCTCCTCCCAGTTCCACAAGCCACTGGCAATCGAAGCCCAGCCAGCTGCACACCCAGCCTGGGCCCGGGGGCTGGGCACGTGGGCAGGTGACAACTGGGAGGGGTGGGGCAGCATGTACTGGGTTAACTGGAAAGCTGAGAGCCATACTGGTTAGGACTGGGGGGCTGGGGTTTGGGGAAAAGGTGGGGGGGGCAAAAGGCTAGCCGGCAAGGGGCCTCCCAGCCTGCACAGCTCGCCCCGGACCCGCCCAGTCTGCCCAGTGCACGCCTCCCAGTTAGCCCAGCGTCCCCCCAGCCTCTCCCAGTTTCCCCAGTGCCCTCTGCCCAGTCTGCCCAGTGCCCCTCCTCACCCACTGCAGCGCCTTGACGAAGCCGATCGGCTCCTTGGCCGGGCCCAGGTCGAACCGGAGGCCGGACATTTTCTGGAGAAGAGGCGCGGGGTGACGTCAGCTCGGGGGCGGAGCCATGCAAAGGAGGGCGGGGCGAGGAGCGGGCACTCGCGCGCGCGAAGAGGGAGGGGCGCGTCGACCCGGGGCCCCGCCCCCTCGCCTACGTTTGCATATCTGCCGGATTGGTACATTTGAATCTCATCTGCGTATGCACACCTGGGACGTTTGCACTTCCGCTTCGGCCGCACGCCTGGCGCATGCGCGTCTCCTCCATCGGCACGCGCCTGTAGTGGTGTGCACGCCCGGGACGTGTGTGTGTCTCGTTTGCAGATGCATACATGGCCAGTTTCCATCTCTGCGGCGTTTGTGTACCTGGTGTGTGTGTGTGTGCATCCGCCTCTACGTCTCATTTGCTTGTGATTTGCATATCCGTGGCAATATCACTTGCTTTTCAGCTTCATTTGCATATGCATGACTGGTACATATGCATACCTGGTTTGTTTGCATCTCATTACATGTGCATGCACTGCACGTCTTCATTTGCATATGCATTATGGATCATTTGCATGCCCACTTCGTTTGCGTATGTATGCACAGCCTGTTTGCATTTGCTTACCTGGCTCATTTCCATCTCATTTGCATATGCATTGCCAGGCCAGTCACATCTCCACTTCATCTGCATGCCTTTCCTACTTGCATGTCCCATGCATATCCCATGGTATCTGCATACCAGCTTCATTTGCATACCTGCCTCTGCCTGGCTCATTTGCCTCTCCCCTTCGGTAGCATCTCATCTGCCTTTTCCCCACCCACCTCATCTGCATATTCTCATCATTTGCACCTTGGCTGCATTTGCTGCCCTGGTTCATTTGCATATCCTCTTCACTTGCATTTCCATGCCAGGCCCCTTCTAGAAGACCAGCCCAGGAGGGGACAGGCCTGTCTATACTGGGCTGTCCCCTATAGCTCCTCCATCCCCCCAGCCCTGCATCTATAGGAGAATACCTCCATACTGTCTCATAGATGAACCTGCCCAGCCTTGCCCTCTATAGGGGAAGGGGCCTGGTGCCTCCTGCTTCAAGCACCCACTATTGCCCCTATAGGGACCAGACCCTATAAAGCATAGGGGACCATTATGATCCCCCTATAGGGCCTTCTACAGGGTCTCCCCAGAGCTGCTATAAGGAAGCACACTTGTCTTCTACACAAGGAGGGGGTGGGGCATTAATATATGGGCAGGACCTAAGAAAGCCCCACCCAATCCTTTTATAAACCTTACCCATCAGTTTTGACACACCCACATCCACACCCTATTGAGTGGGAGGGGTTTGGAACTATAAACCACCCCTTCTCATCCAACCAATCACAAAGCAAAGAACCACTCAGAGGCAGAGCTCCCTTCATGGAGCAGCCCTTTTATTGGCTAATATGCCCTTTGATTGACAATAGACAGGGGTGGGACGTGAAGCTCCTTCTCCTGCAATGGACTGGTACCTTCCCTAGCAAGTGATCTCTCATTGGAGAAGCCAAAGGGGTAGGTGGGGCTTGTTGAGAATTACACCCCCATACACACCATCCATCCATTCTTCCCCATGCACATCCTCCATCAGGCCCTCCCATCCATCCATAAACCCTCTAGCACCTTCCAGCCCGCCAGCCGAGGCCCACTCTCCACCCACCCACCCATCCCCATAGACACCCATCCATCCAACCATCCCTCCTTCCATCCATCTCCATACATACCATGCATCCACCCATCCACCCCCTCCATCCATCCATCCCCATACACAGTCCTTTGCCCATCCATTCATCCATCCTTCCATGCCCATATGCACCTATCCTCTCATCCAACCCTCCATGAATCCCAAATAGACATGAGGCTCTCCAACCATCCCCAGACACCCATCCATCCACCAGTCCCCAACAGACATGACTCCATGCATCCCCAGTAGACACCACTCCACCCATCCATCCTGAAATGGACACCACTCTATCCAAAATCCCCATAAACACTCATCAATCCATCCATCCCCATATGCATCCATTCAACCAACCATCCTTCCCAGAGACACCACTGTCCATCCAACCATCCCCAGAGACACCCACCCACCCATCCATCCCCAATAGAAACCACTCCACCCAACCATCCCTATTAGACATCATCCCTCCATCCATCCATTCTCGGAGACCCATCCATCTATCCCCATAGACACTTGTCCATCCATCCCCTCATCCCCACAGACATTCATTTATCCCAGCACCACTCCATCTGTTCCCATCAATACCCCTCTATCCATCCATCCATCCCTCCCTCCCTTCCTCCCCAAATCACTACTCCATGCATCCATGAATCCCCAACAGACACTACTCCATCCATCCAACCATCCCCTTTCCTTCCTCCTTCCATCCACCCATCCCATGCCTCCCACCACATACACAACCCAGTGAAGAAGCCCCGCCCCCCACCACATGCACACATTCCCACCTGCCCCCTCTGCCCCCGCCACCCACTAAGAAAGGAGAGGCAGGGGCAGGGAGAGGAATCCTGGCCCTGTGGGACTCAGTTGTCCTCCATGGTCTTGCAGATCCACTCGAGATACTTGCAGACCTGGGTGTAGACACCAGGCTTGTTGGGATGGACACACTCCAGCTCTCCCCAGGACACCATGCCCTGCAGCTGCCCCTTGCAAACCAGTGGGCTGCCAGAGTCACCCTGCAGAGAGATGCCCCCTCAGGGGGGCAGGGTGTGAAGGACTGGATGGGATCCCTGTCTGACCCCCTGAAGCACAGAGATCCCTCTGAGTCCATCCAACTATTCATCCACCCACCCATCCATGCCCATAGACACCCCTTCATTCATCCATCCATCCTCATAGAAACCATCTTTTTTCCTTCCCATAGACCCTCACTTACCTATCCATGCCCATAGACAACCCTTCATCCATCCATGCATCTCCATACACACACATCCATATAGCCATCCATCCCCTCATCCACCCCTTCATCCATCCCTCTCTCCCTCCCCAGACACTCACCCAGCCATCCACCCACCCCCATAGACACCACTCCATCCATCCATCCACCCAGCCCCATAGACACCACTCCATCCATCCCTTTCCCTCCCCACAGGCACCTATCCATCCACCCATCCTCAACTCTGCCCCAGTCTCCTACTTCACCTTAACACCTTCACCTTTTCATGTGTGTCCCTTTAGGGTGCGCCTTTGTACCCTGCCTCTACCTCAAAGTGCATTCGCTTTTCCTTGACAGCCTTCCACCTCTGCCTCTGAGTCTCTTTCCCTTAAATCTGCCCCAACTCCAAGCCATAGAGTTCAAGGTTAGATCCCAGCTGGTCTATGGTGGACCCCAGGGAAGGTCCTCAGCTTGCAGCAAAGCCCCGGCCACTCACCTGGCATGAGTCCCGACCACCTCCCTTGACCCCAGCACACATCATGTTTTGGGTGACCAGGTTCCCGTAGGCCTCCCGGCAGTGGTCATGGGACACAGTCCACACCTTCGTGCACTGGAGGATGTCTGGGAAAGTGGCTGGGTGAGGGAGAGGAGAAAGCATGAATGAATCAGAGAAGGGCATATGGGTTCAATCCATGACCTCATGCTACTAGATGAATATTAATAAGAGCACAGGTCATAATGATATTACATTAATTACCTCCCAATTCCCACAGCCAACAGCAAACTTTCATGGATAAAATTAACAATATTATAGATAATAAGGAGGTCATATGAATTATCCCTTAATTAATATTAATAGCTATAGCCAGTAGCCAACACCCATAGTTAATATTCATGATGTCACATGGGTTAAGAACAGCATATTAATTATCTCTTAATTAATCTCTTAGCCACAACTATCAGCTAATAAACATAGACAACACTGGTAATTATAAATAATAAAAATGTGATATTAATCACTTCCTGAATCATGTTAACATGAGCTAATACACCCAGATGATTTTATGAATATTAATTTTAGTAATGATGGTATGTATGATTAAATATATTATTGTTATTGTTGTTGCTATTATTGTTGTTGTTGTTATTATTTTGGTTGCTGCTGTTATAATTGTTAACAATACTGTCATTAATAGCAACAACAATTATGATAACAATAGCAATATCAATAACTATTATTACGACTACTACTATTAGTATTAGGATGATGGAAGTGGCAGGTAGGGGATGGGAGGGTTGCCTGTTCTCCAGCGGGGAACCGTGCAGCTGGGCCGACAGCACAGGGGCCGGTGCCTGTGCTCGCAGGGACCGAGCAACCACAAGACGCCGGGAGGGGTGAGGGGCAGAGGAGCCCATGGCCAGACTGCCTGGTGCCGTGCAGCAGCCTCATCGCAAAGCAAGGGGTGACACAAGCCTCCCCTCCTCTTCCCTCCAGCCCATGTTGGGGCCATGCTCCACCACGGCCTGCATGAATCGGAGCCACCGCACTCCAGCCGGGTCAGGACGGGAACAGGGCAGGGGGCTGCGGGTCAGGAGTGAGGGACTTCGAGGTGGGGACAGGGCACTGTGGGTTGGGAATGCAGTGCACTGGCAGCGCCACGGGGCTGTGGGTCAGGACTGAGGGGCACCATCAGGGCCCAAGAGGGCAAGGTACCGCAGTTTGCTGAGTGAGGGGCACTGGCAGGGCTGGGGTCAGTGGGTTGGGAGTGAGGGGCATCCTCATGGCCCAGCGGGGCAGGGTACTGCAGTTTGGTGAGTGAGAGGCACTAGCAGGGCAGTGAGGGACAACAGAATGGGCAGGGGCAGGGCCATACTTCAGGGCCAGCCATGTAAACACTCCTTTGAAATCTGTCATTCATGGTGGGCAATTGGCTAGTAGATATATAATATGCATCATGTTTCATAGTTGGTAGGGTCGGAAGGGACCTGAGCAGATCATCAAGTCCGACCCCCTGCCATGGCAGGAAAGAGTAC